CAAGTAAAAAGTACAATCATAAACTTTAGCATTTATAGTCGCTCTAGAAAATATTATTGAAACTGAAAGATTGTAATTTAAATGATATTCCAAAGACCTCTCAATATGTCATGAGCAGAAGGTGATCCGCTCATCCTACTTCATCCGTCAAAATATATCAAAAGAAATGCCATTTTTATCAATTGTTTACATTTCATTGAATTTGACTTCGAGTATTGATTTCAAAATCAAAAAGAAAAAAAATCTACAATTATTTTAAATCTATGCGTCAAAATAGCTGAGAGATAAGGGTCTATAAACTCATTAACAGTTTCAGAATTCTCTTGTAATTAAAAGAAGAAAGCTGTGTTGATAAATTATAGACCAATATAAAAACTATAAAATATTCAAAAATACTAGTATTATGTAGGGAATTTGAGAAGGGCTCATCAACTTGATGAAATTATTTATTTTCAGAATAATAGAAGCAAAGCAGACAAGACAAATTACGGACAAATATAAAAACTACGCAAAAGAAATGCCATTTATATCAATTGTTTACATTCCATTGAATTTTACTTCGAGTATTGAAAAGATTTCAAAATCAAGAAGAAAAAAAAACATCAATTATTTTAAATCTATGCGTCAAAATAGCTGAAAGATAAGGGCCTATGAACTAATTAGCAGTTTCAGAACCCTTTTGTAATTAAAATGAAGAAAAGCTGTGTTAATTATTTATAGACTAATATAAAAACAATAAAACATTCAGAAATAATAGTATTAAATAAGAAATTTGAGAATGGGTGTTTAAGTTGCAATTGATGATATAAATTTTTTATTTTCAGTAATAATAGAAGCAAAGCAGAAAGACAAATTATGGACAAATATAAGAACTACCGTATATTTAAAAATAATAGAATTATGTTAGGAATTGGAAGAGGACTCAACACCGTGCATTTGATGATAAAAACTTTTAATTTTCAATAACAATTTGAACATCAGGAATTTACTAACGTGCTAAAGAAATCGACAAAATCATAACATTTGGAATTTGATTCTGCATTCTAAGTACATACTAAAATTTAGGAATTGGCCTCTGCGTGAATAACCATGGATTCTAATCTATTTAGAAAATTTCCAAATATATATGTATTCCAGAAGAACCGTGAAGATACAACAAATCAAAACAATAATTAAAATTAAAAATGCTATAAAAAATTCTTGGCGCAAGAAATATATATAATTCTAATATAATAATATTTAATTTCAAAAAGAAATTTTGAAAATAAATATTATTTTGAAAGAAAAAACAACATTGAACCTAGAATATGACATGAAAGTCCGAACGATAATGTTCGCCATGGAGGGAAAAGTGATTAGAATGGTGCCCCCGGTGCACTCATACCATAAACCTAATTTCGAAAAACTATTATTATATTAATACACAAATGCTGATTGTGTTTAGGCAACCCAGATTATCGCCCAAAAAGTGTATATTTGATATAATAATCTTGTGGGTCCATTAATTTTAGCCCGAACGCAATTACAAATCCCCAAAGTAATTATAGGTTAAAGGGATCAAATGTGATCGAATCAAGGGATCTGCAAAAATGTCAGCAAGATTAACGTATTTTGTTCTGATAACATCTGGAAATTTATTTGTTATATCGAAAGATGATAGAATTCTTAACTAAGTGCAATGGAAATTCTACTTAAGGAGGCGTCCATTAATCACGATATCGATTTGTTAGGGATTTTTGGACACCCCAACCCCTTGGTGATATGTCGTGATATTTAAATACACCGCCCCCTCCCCCAGCAAACATCACGTGTAATTTGAGTTACGTAAAATTTTTCAAGCAAATCTTCCGAATTTACGAAAAAAATCATAAAATTGATATTTTTTTGAAAATCCAAGTAAAAAATAAATACATGTGATATCTTACTAGACCCCTCCCTCCCCCTACGTGATTTTTCGTGATTTTTTGTCAAACCCCCCTAGGAGCCCTAAAAGTCTCATGTGATATCAATAGATTTAAAAAAAAATCTATTGTAGAAATGACAAATTCAGTTCGCCCGCCTTTGGCAATATAGGTTGATCTCGAATCTTTGATCAAAAATTTATTAATGTTTTTGACGAAAATCTAATGCCATTTAGCTTGGATCAAGCAGTTTAAGTATAAAAAAGTATAAGGTAAAAAACATCAGTTCGTCGCCGAACTGAATAAATAAAATAGCCTCTTGCATTTTTGGAAAATTCAATTAATCGTACGAAATTGACACTTACATCAAGAGGCTTATGTGCCATGTGCTTCTAATAAAACACTTAAATACAAACAAAACTAGTATACACGGTGCGGTATTTACGCGAAAACGTTCAATATAATATGATACCGGCCGGCTTAAAATCAAATCGATAATAATACAAAAATTGATTAATACATTTATTAACACTATGCAAGCGTTAAATGTGTATTAAATTTCCTTCTGCAAACATTTCGATTGCAGCGCCAAATTGGAGGAACTAATATGGGAGTACATAGTTCGAAGTAACTCCGAAAGATGGCGGTGACATTGGTAAAATGTCATTCGTTTAACTTTGAAATTCTATTTTGTTGATTAAATAAATTTTATAAAATCAAAATTAATGACAAGAATAGATTTGACAAATTAAGTGTAAAAACAAATAATGTGGTTTTATGGGATCAAAACTTATAACCAACACCTTAAAAGTGTTGGTTGTGATGATATTTAGCAGATGGTAGCACTGCTTAGTTTTGTGAAAAATGTCTTCATCTGTCAAAAATGACATTGTCAAAATGATACAAAAAAATGTTCAAAACTTTTTCATAAATAGGTATTAATTAAATATGTAACAGTTGTCTAGATAATAATGCATTTTTATGCAAAGGACATATTAAAGATGTATTTCAAAACAGGTGACAATCAAGTGTTGAACTTTGAGACATGAAAAACTGTGTTTGCTTCACTTATCATAATATACTATTACCATTATATGTTCATTGAATTATTCACATTAAAAAGATTAGTTTTTGTGGTAATTTTTCCAATACTTTACTGTTATGAACTTCTGCGAACAAAAGAATTGTGTATTCTTGCTGCTCTATTTACAGAAATTGATTTCAAATTGATTGATTCCAAGATTTACCATTATATGTATGTTTATTAAATTATTCATATTAAAAACATTAGTTTATGTAAATGATTTTTTTTCTAGTACTTTACCATTATGTACTTCTGCAAACTGCAAAAGAAATTCATCTCAGTTGACTCTAAAACATATCAAGACTATAACACATTAAAATGCTATCTGATGATAATTCTCAGAGTTTTCTGAAATCAATCAGTTTTTTTGTATCAACAATTATCTCTTTACCTTCTTTTGTTTACTATCAGCCACCAATTCCTTCTTCGTTTTGCTCGTATGCCTGCTCTCATACGATCCACCAAGGCATATATTCAATTATACAGCATACACAAAGTATAAAACATAACTAAATCTTGTTTATACATAAAACTTGCGTGTTACGTATTTCTGCTGCTCTATTGATAGAAATTCATTCCAAGTTGATTAATTCCAAGATTTATCATTATATGTTTATTAAATTATTCATAATATAAAGATTAGTTTATATAAATAAATTTTTTTCTAATACTTTACTATTATGCACTTCTGCGAACTGCAAAAGAAACTCATCTCAATTGGCTCTAAAACATATCAAAACTATCACACACATCAAAATGCTATTCTGATAATGATTCTCAGAGTCTTCTGAAATCAATCAGTTTTTTGTATCAATAATTGTCTCTTTGTCTTTGTTTACCTACACTCAGCCACCGAAGCCTTTTTACTGTTTTGCTTGTAGGCCTGCTCTCAGCCACCACTGCATATATCCAATCATACAGCATACAGTAATTATAGAACATAACTTTTATACTAAAACATATTACTAGATAAGTGTATTTGAATCGAGATATATCTTAAGTTTACAAAATAATGTTTATACATGCAAAACTTGCCTGTTATGTATTCATTATCTGCTCTATTGACAGAAATTTATCCCAAGTAGTCCAATAATTGTCTGCATATTTAATTCCAGGCAAAGGGTTACCTCGTAGAAAAACTAGCATTTTGCATTTGTTTATGAATTCGAACACACAAATTGATTTATACCTAAAAATAATGTTTAAATACAATAGTTTTGATATGATATAAAGAATATGCTTTTATAGATATATTTTATTTAACAATTTGCATATCGTACAAATTTATAATAAGGCATTATGTTGTAAGGCAACATGTTCTTAAAAAAATCTTGCATTAATCACAGATTAACTTCAATTGTAAAGCTAGTTATTAAAATTAAACAAAAATAAACAATATACATATGCACGTAAGGTTTTTTTTATATATGCTTTTATAAGGTTCTTTTTCTTATTCGAAGTATTCACTCTCAATTCACACAAAAACATTAAAAATTATAGCTCTTAAAATATATATAAATTTACATCTAAATAAATGGCAAATTTCTTAAATATCTATTAAATGCATCACAAACTATATAAAACACTTATTTTTTAATTGTCATTTCGTTACGTCCTCATAATTTCTTTCGATATAAATTTTATTTCTTTATATATATATATATATATATATATATATATAAACTTTAAATAGTCTATGAAACCTTTAAATCTTAATTCATTGTTTGATTACCAATGAAGAAAGTTTAAATATATTATAAAATAAATGAAACAAGTGCAAAAATATTTTACGTAATAAAATATTGCCTTGACTAGTTTTTATGCCCAAATCCCTTATTGTTTTTCTTATTAATAGCTGTTAATGTTTTTATAGTAGCAATAACAAAGAATACTGAGTGATTTTTGGAAGTATGATCAATTTAAAGACAATCAATAAATAACTTTTGAGTTATTTTTACTCGTTTAAATTATCACTTGATTGCTTTTATCACAAATTTATATATACTTGATTTATTTTACCAAGGTCTCCACATTTCTGAAGAATTTTGCTGTTGTTGATTATTATCAGCTTTGTCTTCGACATTTTCTCTATCAGCATCGCTTTCCTCTTTTTCAAAATCAGCAGTACTACTAACTTTAGCTTTTTTGCGTTCTTCGTCCAGAAAACTATCTTCTTCACATTGCCTTTTTCTGCTCTTCTGTACCGACTCAACCCATAAACTGGTTGAGAGATTGCTATTGCCAACTTTTGGTACATCTTCTTGATTTTGATGAAAACCATAGATTTTAGTTCCTTCTTCTTTGTATCCTGAAGGATATATTAATGGTGTTGCTTTAAGTGATTCAGGAGATATAGTTGTTGTTGAGGATATATGTGGTTGTTGGGGACTTGGTCTTCTAGCAGGAGTTTTGTTTAAGTTATCTTCATCAGATGTGTTGGAGTCTGACGATAGTGTATCTGCAGGACTTAACAAGGGATTTACTACTTTTTGGTGTGAAGATATCACTGCAGTGAATGCGCTTTGTCTAGAAGATGTAGATGAGGCACCAATTTGGATGGCTGTAGCAGGTGTTGATTGAGGAAAAAAGGGTAAGTTACTGCTGTGGGGTAGCACTAATGCAAGTTCACCAGTTGGTAAACGGCTTGGAATTAGCTGCACTCCTCCCATCTGAATACGTTGGTTGGATTGACTACCATTATTGTTTACATCTCCTGGGAGTAAAAAACTGCTTGGTGCATTGGTTGCAGCAACTGAAAATAAAATTTTAACGTTAACCACCGAAGTAAAGTTTTAAATTTGAAAGCAGAAATAATTCTTAAGATAAAAGATTTTATGATTAAATAATTGTTTTTTTATAATTTCGAAGTATTTTTTCATTCTCACCTGCATTAGAAGATGTAAGTGGTGTCTGCACCATGGGGTTTGTGTTTGTTGGAAATCCAAGAGGATTTGCCGGTGGAGTTATTTGATTAAGTCCACTCACACAATTATCTAAATGAGCTACCAGTCGTCTAGCAACCTGCAAAATGAATGATTTGATTAATATTTAAATTAGTTTAAATTAATCTTTAATTTCATAAATTTATAACATAATTAACGTAATTTAAATCTTGTTACAATTTTTTTTATTAATTCAGAATATTTCAAATTGAAATAAATTACATTTGGCATAAATATTTTCATATAAAAGATTATTATTATTAAGACAATTACCTCAGCATCTTGGCCAGTCAATCCCTTTGTGCATTTGGCAACCTCCTGTGCACATTCTCCAAAACCTCCTCTGAATCGAGATAGAGAATTTACATCAGCAGGCATCTGCTGCTGCAGCATTTGTTGTTGCTGCTGTCTGCGCTGCACCGATTGCAAATGTCGGACAGTCATTTCTAATATATCAGCTTTTTCCAGCTTGGAGTGTCTGGCTGGCTGTAAGAGAAATATAATAATAAATAAAGGGGATACCATTATCATTATTAACGAAAATAATAGTTAATAATAAATAAATTAAAATAATAATTAATATTTATTTATTATTTTTATTTTATTTTTCTTATTTTAACTTATCTCAATTGAGAATTGTGTTAATTGTAATAAAAAAAATATTTTTGTTGCCATTTTTTTTACACTGATGATGAGACAAAAAATTAGGTTTATAATTTAAGTATACTTTATGAAATAGAGTTCTCTGAATTATATTGTCTGAAAACAGTGCAGCGTTTTCTGACTTTTAATTAACCCTTTGCTCTTCGTTGTCGCCTTATTGAAACATTTAATTATGGAAATTTTGTAGTTCTTCTTTTTTCACATTTTATATATAAATATATATTCAAAATATTTTTTTATAAACTAATAAAATTTCTAACTTTCTTCACTACATCACGCATTTGCGAGTATATATAAAAAAATTTTTAGTAATAAAGAAATTTAAACCCAGAAAATTTTATAAGAGATATATCATTCATACAATTAGTGTCAAAACGAGAAGTGTACGAAAATAATATTTCTTGTTTAATTTTTAAAACAGTATTTTTCCCTAGGATTAAAATATAATTCCCATGTATCCTGTTTGCGTACATTACCTCTTACTATCGTATATCACAGAAAGACTCCGCGTAATAACAGATTTAAACTTCGCGGTTCCCCTTTCGATAAAACGGAACTGGTTTCCGCGGCATATCCGGTAAGGAAATGAGCGGTTAACTCTGTGTTGTTCGTAAATTATAAATACGGCTTGTTCTCTACTTACTAAAGGAACTCCACATACTAATATAGGTATAAATATAGCAGGCTAATAAGCGTGGGTAAATATGGTGATATATGAGAGTACACGCCTTTTATTACGTTTTTTGTAACAAGGTAATTGACATGGGAATTGCTTTACATTTTGATTTAAAGCTAACACAAATTTGATTTCCTAAAATTTATGTGTTTGCTGGTCATTTTAGTAGCATAGAAAGCCTTTCCAGTTGTTTTTCCTAGTTACTTTGCGATTTAGTGACCTTTATTACTGGAAATTTTTACTTATTTTATTAATTAATTTTATTAACAAGATTCTCAAAATGTGATGCAATCTAATAAATAAAATTTTTCGATTATCTATTACTTGGATTCCTCTTTTTTTCGGTACAAGTTTAATTTATAATCAAGAAAAAGCACGAATCAAGTGTTCATATGATAAATCAGCATAAGGATCAAGTAATAAGGCAGCATAAAGATCAAGTAATAGTTTGGAAATAGAAATTAAAAAATGTGAAAAAGCTAATATTTAAAAATTTGACTTGACTTGACTTCATTTAGTTAATGGTGATTATATAATTAAATAATAAAAAAAATAGGAGCAAGTGCCTAAAGTGTCCGAGGCATATTACTATGGAACACTGTATTGCATGCTGCGAATTTTTTATAACTTTAATTAATTTTTATAATTAAACCACTGCTCACAGGCCTATAATATTTTAAACAGTTCGGATTTACTATTATATCTATCAACATGCAAGGTTTCATCAAAATCTCAGAAGAGTAAACCTGAAGTTCTCCTTGTAAGTAAAGTGAAGTCAAATTTTAAAAAATAAATTCTTTTTACCTGTTCTTTTGACAAAAAATTAGTGATAAAGATTTATAGATCAAAGTTGCAAGTAAGTTTTTAAAACAAGGTACAAGGTAATCCATTCATTTATAATATTTAGGTTTAAAGATATTTTGTTTTTGACATGAAAACCTTTTAATAAATTTAATAAATTAATTAAATATCTTTAAGAAATCTTGGTGTTTTATTAATTTAGTAGATTTAATGTTCCGAAAAAAACATAAATTTATATATATATAATTAATAAAATTAATTAATTTCAGAAGGCTGAGAAAAAACAGATTACGCATTTAGTTATTCATAATTGAATAAAAATAATAAATCTAAATAACAAAAAAATATCGTATATAATTTTCTCTTTTATTTACGAGTGTAACAATTAATTTTTTCTAAGTTCCCATACAAAAGCATCTAACTGTGATTCAAGTAACCAACTAACGGAAAGGGTTGAACGTAGACAGGTTATTGAAAAACTTGATACAAGGGTTAACGCGTATTCACTCTCCTTTGTGAAAGTAAAATGAAACCATATATTATAAATCTGCCCGCTTTGATCATTTTTATATTCGTGCAGGAAGTGCATAGTACATAATAACATGCATTACAAAACATTTCTGAACAGGTAACGGTAAATCTGTTTATCAAAATAATTTCCGTAAAAATCTGCATTTTCGGCAATCAGGAAAGAGAAAGTGTTCAGATTTATATCGGAAGAGATTTTCAAATTACGATAATAAGATGTTATAAGCTACTTACGCGATAACATGTATTTATACTTGATTAAATTGCAGGAAATAAAACGGTTGGAAGAGTAAATTATAATGCATATTTAATATATAAATTATGCTAAATATAGATTTATACAATTACAATGTAAGATCAACAAGCAAATCTTTGTTTTCTCAGTTGACGATTGTGGTAATTAATATATCATGAAAAATAGATCTCCCGTATTAATAGAATTTAATTTAATTGATTATGTTAAAAGTTATATGATACTCAAGATAAATAACCTTTTTTATACGTGAACTTTGAGAAGGTTGAAATGATTAAGTATTTCTACTTTAAGATGCAAAAAAACAATTAAAAATATAGAGAATCAAAAATCAAATTATGAATTTTATAGACAATATAAATTGTCATCTGAATAAATGTTTTAAACTGTTTTTATAAAATGCTGGTTAAAATTTTTATGCTAAATTTTAATTTCTTTAGTAATCAATCTATTCAACTTTATGATAATTTGTATGATCTTTTATTATAATAAAATAATAAATTAAAAATAGTAAATTAAAGGGTCAATTCTGGGATAAAACAGGTATGTTATGTTACGGCCATGCTATGGGTCTATCTTCGTATGAGTCGGTAGTGACAAACTGCTAAAAAGCTATGTATTTACTGTGCGATCAGGCGTTTTACACATGAAACCTAACTTTACGTATGTGTTATCAATGAGGCATCAGAAAGATGCACTTATGATAAAATTGTTATTTGACGTTTTTGCGTTTTGTAGGTTAGTCATCACTATCAATTCATACTAAGATAACCTCGTAACATTTCTATTTTATCGGAGAATTGGCCCCTTAAAATAGATATGCTAAAAACTTTTATACTTTTTTAGGTAAACAACTTAATGAAACTTATAATTTATACAATCAATATTTTTTAAATTCATCAGATATAAAAAAAACTACAAAAAATAATAAACCATAATTAGAATAATAAAATAATTAAATATGATAAAACTTACGTCTTTTTTCATTGCATCTAGAATCAATGATTTTAATTCATTCAGACAATGATTTATTCTAGCACGTCTTTTCTTCTCCATAATAGGTTTGTTACTCTGAAAGGTGTAAAAATGCTTTAGTCTTTTAAATAAATTATAAATAATATTTTTAATAATATAATATATTTATAAAATATTTTGTAGATATATTGGCATACCTATTACAATTAAAATCATCATTAGAATTTTTATTGACTGTTTAGAACGTTTTATTAATTGTAATGCATATGCCAAAATAACTATAAAATATTTTGAACAGAAATAATAATTATAAATTTATAATAATTATGATATGAGTAATGAAGGTAAATTCTGCAATTATTAAGATCATATATTGTAAGATTAAGAACTAACATTAACAGACTTTTTAATATTTTAAATGTAAAATGTAAATTAGGTAAGACCAAAATAAATTACAGAAAATCAAAAAATATTTAATTAATTAATTGTGAGGTATTATTTTATTTGATCCTATCATATATCTTAGTTTTGTCGACGTTGAAACACATTTGAGATAATTTGCTGCCTATCCGTCGAATTAAAAAAGTTAATATAAAAACATTTTTCATTAAAAACAATGATTACTAAATACTTGAAAATTAATGACACAATTAAAGGAGAAGAAATACACACCAGGTAAAACATAAAAACACTAAAAAAATAAAAGCTTTTATATTTTGTATAAAAGTATATAAATAAAAGCTTTTATATGCATTTATTTAATATAATTAATAGTAATATAATATATGGGTAATTAGTATTTACCAGTAAATATTTGATATATTGCTATTAAATTTATTTAAAAATATTAGGTACATACCCTTCTCAATTCAGCTTTTGTCATCCTATCCATGTTTGTTGAATTTTGCATATTACTCTGTCTTGGATCGAATTCGTCTTCGCTTATTGGCATTTTAAGTAATCCTTGCCTTTAGAGATTTAATATCACTCCCCTACTTTCTGATCAACTTATTTTAATAATAACAGTTTTTGAGCAAATAATTACCAATTGTTAATCGAAACACTTGGAATTAATATTGCGATATTAATTTGAATCACTGAAATAATTACATATAGGCACTTTGTTATTGTATAGTTTTACAACACTTGATTGTCACTAATGTTATTTTTAAAAATAGCGAATATTTTTAAATTTTTATTAGCTTTTATTAAACTTCACAAGATTTTATTTATATTATCATAGTCCAAAATTATTTAAAAAAAAAACAAATATGTTCATCCCTCTGAACACGTTTCCGTATTTTTCCCTACCCCACAAACGATGTTACACCCTCAAAGTTCGAAGCGCAACTGATCAACTCCGAAGACGAATCGAGGAAGCGTTCCCCTTAACTGCTGTTAATGCCCGTTTGACTTATGCGTGTGAACTTGTTGCTTCGGCTAGAGGTAGTTCTCCCCACCATATGAAATTTACCGAATTTGTGTAGGTACATGTATTTAGTATGATGATGAGGTGTATTGGTGATATAAGGGTGAGATGAAAAAAACTTTGAGGAAGTAGAAGATTTTGCGTGTTGCTAAGTTTTTGCATTTATAGATCCAGAAGCGATTGGATTTTGTGAGAGATAAAATGAAAAAAGTAGGGAACTAAAATTAGTTTGGTATAGTCATTATGCCTATATACTTTAAAATTAATTACAGTTTGTAGCCGGAACTCGTCTATTTATAAATAATTATACACAAATCCCCAAGAGAGGAAAATTGGAAAGTTGAACATATATAAGGAATTTTAAACTGAAACCAATGATACCAATAAACATTTTTAACAGCGATCTAGCCGTAAGCAAGAACTACGTAGTTTTAATTTTTACCGTCAAACTCTCAAGTATTTTACTGTTTAATTGCGTGAACTTTTGATGAAACTACCCATCATACCTCAGTATTTTTTAAAAATTGATCAATTTTGAAAACTTCAAATTTGCATTTTAACGAATAGAACTTGAAATAATTTATTTATTTAATTATATAAAACTTGGGTATAAAATATATATTCTTTTTTTGACTGCGGACTTAGAAATATTTAAGGAATAAAAAATAAATAAAAATTAACCACACTAATTGGAAAATTATCACAGTTTGACCAAAGCCTTAGGCTGCACTTGGAAGATCATTTTTTGAAATTACATGAAATAATTTTTTCTCTATATTTTTCATGATCGTTACTGTCGGATTGACGTTGAGTTCTGGGACATCCTGTATATATATATATATATATATATATATATATATGTATATATAGTAGAAATTTGATATTATATTGCTTGATATCGAGCTGGCCGATCTTGAGAGACTCTGAGACTAGACATTGCTAGCCCACGATCTTAACTATTATACCATACAAATAAAAATAAAAGTATGGTTATACATCAGAGTTTAAATTTTTAAAATAAAATTTAAACTCATATTTTCAATTGTCAAACTTATATACATTGCCCGAAAAAATGGTGCACATATCGTTCTGTGTGAATCTAGTAAAAAATCTGAGTTTTATTAACTTGCATTTGGTCCTTAATAACCGTTAAATAGCCAAAATTATTTGACTTTTTTTTTGCACAGTAGATTTAAGGAAATTTAACTAGTGGTGCATGGCATTGTGCCTTAAGGCAAATTACTGGAACTTTCCGTACCAAAAAATATTTTTTATAAATTTCTTCTAGAAAAAAATACCTTCTTGAAAAATTTGATTTTTTCATACTTTAAAATGTTTTGAAAATTTTGAACTTTTTTAAAGCAACGCGATACGTTAGCTGCGTAGAACAAAATATCGAAGCGCGTGGGCGCCGCGTCGCTGTATAACAGATAAACATTGATACGGAACCCATAGAAAAGTAAACAAAATTTGTTTCTATTAATAAAATATCTACAAAATATGTGATAATTCTTCCCGTATCTTCGGAACGGCTGAACCTGCCTTTGCCAAAAACTAATCAGCATGTCTCCTTATTAATAGGTATCGAATGTTTTTTAAACCATTCAAATTGGTTGATCCGTGTTTTCGAAATCGTCGACGAAAAATTGTGTCTACACTTACATACACACACACACGCGCACACATACATACATCCATTTTTTTTAAGGTATGTCAAAATGCTTAGAAACCTTTAAAAAAAATTATTTTCGATTTTTTTGCGATTACTATAACTTACCCTAGGGAAAGTTAATTAAAATAATCAGTTTTTCTGGAAAAATCATTGTTAGAGATAATACCAAATTATGCATGTGATTGTGAGCACGTCAATATATTTAACTAATGGCAATAATTTGATTAATAATTATATAATGTTCCTGGTTCAAATTCTAAAATATGTACTTTGCCGTTTTATGAAATAAATACAGTTCTAACAAAATGATAATTTCAATAGTTCAAAAATATTAGGAATTTTTACATTATATATAATAATAATAACAATGAAATAAAAAAATAATATTGAAATCTTAATATTATTTTTAACTAATCAAGAAGCAGATCGTTGAATAAAAGTAAACATATTCTGCTTGATAGTCAAAAAATTATCATAAGTCAAAAATACATCATGATTGCATCATAACAGGTGAAGTTGGCATTTAATAATACATTTAATCTAACTCTATCTCACATAACAGTTGATCTCATCGTATAAAACTCAACATCATATCCGCAATCATCGTCCTAATACTATCTGCCTATGTCAATCTATTAAAATTTTATTACATGTCAATATTGACACAAGCTCTTTTAGCTCATCTCTGTCTCTGGATGCGCGCTCATAGCCGCGGCGGACACATTTCATTTTCCCACGAGTCGGAATATTTGTAGGTAGGCATGTTACCTGTATCGTTATAAAACCGCACATATGCATACGCGCGTCTCGCTGTAGAACGAGGGTTGATGACAACTCGCCTTATGTCGACAAATGTAAGTAATAGCGTTTTATTTGTTGTACATGATGGTAATTTTAATTAATGGTTTGCTCGATCCAGGACCATTATAACAAATTAACATTGTTCTATTTTTGCATATAACACTTTTTATAAGGTGACCATATTTTTTTAAGTCGAAACCGCGACGCCAATTTTTAGTTATGCTAAATTTTATTTAAAACTAGTGGGGCGCATGGCATCGTGCATTAAGGCAAATTACTGGAACTTTCCGTGCCAAAAATTTTTTTTTTTTAAATATTAACATTTTTGAAAAAAAATTACTCTGAAAAAATTAGATTTTTGAGAAACTATAAATTTTTGACAAAAATTTACTTTATATTTTGAAAATTCAGAACATTTTTTCAAAGCAATCATGCTGCTTTAACTGCATAGAGATGGAATATCGAAGCGCGTAAGCGTAAACCTGCCTTCATGAAAATTTGATCAGTTCTTTATCTTGTTAATACAATGTTTTTTGAATTATTCAAATCGGACGCTCCGTTCTTTTAAAAACTGAGTTACCGTTTTTGGAACTTTTTGAACCATATCTTTGGAACGGCTAGACTTGCCTTCGCCAAAAACTAATCAGCACGTCAATACTTATCAATACGAATCAAATGTTTTTTGAATTATTCAAATCGCTTCATTCGTGGTCCCGAAATCGTCGACGAAAATTTGTATCCAAACACGCACACATACACGCATACACACATACACGCATACACACATACACGCATACACACATACACGCATACACACATACATATACATACACATAAATCCATTTTTTCTAAGGTATGCCAAAATGTTCAAAAGGTTTTGAAACGTAAAGATATATAAAAATTTTCAGTTTCGATTTTTTTTGCGATTAATATAACTTGCCCTACGGGAAGTTAATAATTTAAGGATATAATAAAAAAGTTTTTATTTTAAATAAATTTTTTAAATCATAATTGCGGCCTTTTAGTAACAACTTTATTATTCGATTATGTGTAATACTTCTTTATCTATGACATTATTTTATATCTTACATTTTTCGATCTATATGTGTTTCTCGCTTTTAAGCCTTGTATAAAAATTTATTCAATTTTCTTTATAATTAATTTCCCATTATTTTTGATGATTTACCTACTAATTTTTAAAAAACCGGGACAATCAGGGACAAAAGATCTTAATTCAGGATAAATATTGCTTTTAGAAATTGGATCCCGGATTCAAGGTGGAAATCCGGGACTGCGGGACGGTTGATCAAAAAATAATTATTCAAGTTATTTAAATAATATTTAATAAATATGCTAGAATTACTTCCATTGGTATTTAGGTGACGCCGTGATTTTGCGCCCGAAACGGGAAAGGGTTGCTCTCGCCGTGGCCGTGTGCGTCACTGGCGAGGCTTGGCGCGTGTTCACTTGTATTTCGAAATGAAACGATTTAAACTTGCTGAAATAATACGTGTTAAATAGAGTGTCTAGTAATACTGCAAAGACCATTTGATAAATTAAATTCAACAGGTGACCTGATCAATAAAGATTAAATAAGTTATTTAAAATAGCTAATTTAACATAGAAAAACGTAAATATATTAAACTTTGGCAAAATGATTCTAATTCCACACATATTACATTTTGTTTAACTTTTGAATTCAATTTAGTAAACTTTTTAGGTAGTATTTGTACTGGCCTAAGAGTGGATATCAAGCTTCAACACGTGATTCAGGTGTGGTATGCATTGATTATTAAACAGCTATATGATTACCATTGAATTAAATGTCTATTAACCATATTATTTTGTCAATATAATTAAACATTATTCTTTACGACGACTGATGAACCATAAACATTAGACCTGACATTTATCCCCGACTTCCTGCCGTGATCTCGTGTTACTGACACGCGCGTTATTTGAAATCATCGCAAGAGTGGTGTAGGATTTCACTATATTTTTTAAAACAAAATATAATTAACAGGCTGCCGAAGTTTTATCGAGGATTAAA